TCAGCCAACAGCTTAAGTTCTATGCATCCCAACTGTACTACCTATCCTCTTTCTCTGGAATAAACCAATGAAAGGACTTGCCTAGCTGAAGTGATTGCCCTTGACAGAATTTTTGGCTTTTCCTCCTGGAAATCACTTTTATTAAAGCAAAAAGATATGAAAGTTGTGTCTTTGTGTAAATGGCATTATGATAGCCCAGGAAGATACTTGAGTCATTTCCACATTTGCCTCCATGGAGAATAAGGTTTAAGCTATGCATGCTTAAGCAGACAACCTGTTCATGTCTCTTTACAAAGTTCCCTCTTTGGTCTTGGCGACGTCAAAGATTTCAGAGTGGCCACCTGGCATTCATGCTTCTACTCACTACCCGGTGTATATGATAGAATGAGAATGGTGTTTTAATAAAGGGGCATGATTAGTATGGATTTATTCTTGGAAGACTACTATATTATTATTATTAAAATTTGTTCTTATGCTCATTTTAGAGCTTTGTCTTCCATGTCTATCCAATGTCATTTAGCAGAATATGGAGCAAACTAGCTGTAGGTCATACAAACAATGGAAGGTAGCTCAGGAACATTATCAGAGATACACAGGTGGCAAGAAATAGATGGTCAATGGTAAAGACTTTCCCAGCTTTAATTTCTTTAATTAAAAAAAAGGAATCTTACAAGCTGGGTATGGGGTTGTTTCCCCACTATTCCCACCAGAAGGATCACAAGTTCAAGGTCAGCCTAGGCAACTCAGCAAGACTCAATCTCAAAAATAAAATTAAAGAACTGGGGGTGTAGTACAGTAGTATAGTGTTTGTTTAGCATGCATGAGGCCCTGGGTTTAATTCCCAGTATCATCAAAAATTAAAATTAAAAATTAATCTTATACACACAAGTATGCATACACCTATTCACTCATGTATATACCCAGAAACTAGAATAAGAAATATATGCTACGAATAATTGTGGGAACTCCTTAACTCCTGTGTGTCCCTCCTTGATTGTAACTCCAAAACTTGTTTCCAGAAGAGAATACCACCTGATGTTGTGTTTATCATTCTCTGGATTTCTATCAGATTTCCATCAGTTTTACTATATATATTTTTAATCCTATATATATTTTTAATCCTAAATAACATATGGCTTAGTTTTGCATTTTGTACTTTATGTGAAGTATGTAATATTTGGTGATTTCAGGCATGTATTCTTTAGTGAGGTTTCTGCAATTTATCTGTAAATATGTCTGTGATTCATTTATTTTTTTATGCTCCATAGGATTTCCTGGTATGAAATAATCAACACTTACACACAGGGAACATTAATGATATTTCTACTTTTTATTCTATTTTAAACAATGCTACTATGAACATTCTTCTATATATGTATTCTTCTATATATTTCCTCCAGGGGAAGAACCATAGATTCAGGATATGTATTTCTTCAATAATAACAATTTTTTCAACTCATTATGGGAAGTAAGCACATCAATTTGCACATGCACTGGCAAAATATGGATAGTCTGATACTCTCTATCTTGCCAACACTTGGCATGCTCAATGTTATGATTTAGATATGAGGTGTCCTCTAATAAGCTTATGTCAGATAATGCATGAATGTTCAGAGGTGAAATAATTCAACTATGGCAGCTGTACTAATCTCAGAGAATTAAGACATTTGAGGGATTAATAATCTGAATGAATTAACTGGGTAGTTAACTATAGGCACGTGGGACGTAGCTGAGGAAGCAGGTCACTCTAGGGCCTTGCTTTGGGGGTCTATATTTTCAATCCTGGCATCTCTCTCTTTCTCTCTCTCCCCTAACATATTCTCTCTCTCTCTCTCTCTCTCTCTCTCTCTCTCTCTCTCTCTCTCTCTCTCTCCCTGCTCTCATGAGCTGATCAGTTTTCCTCCACCACGCCCTTCTGCCATCATGTTCTGTCTTACCTCAGGCCTAGAGCAATGGAGTTGGCCCACCATGAACTGAAGATCTGAAATTGTGAGCCCAAAATAAACTTCTCCTCCTCTAAGCTGTTCCTGTCAAGAATTTTGGTCACTTGACAAAAATCTAACACCCAAAAAAGTGGTAATTCACATAGACAATAAATCCTCTAGAATCACATCATGCTTCTGAGTCAGAGCTTGAACTACAATTACTTCATAGTGAATTCTCTCCTTTCAAAATCGAGAAAAAGACACGGTTTGAATCCATAAAATGGCAAGCGTAAGTTTTAAAACTAATTCTATTGATGCTTACAAATTAGTCTCCCATTTTTCTTACAAGGAAATTCCCTATAACATGATGTCAAAACATTTGTGTCTAACTACTGTGTTTTGCCAAAGAGGTAAAGTTTCCAGTCAAAACAATTAATTAGAAGCTATTAATGATGATTTCAAAGATTTAAGTAGTCACTTAAATGAAGAGAGAAACTGAAGGGAACAAAATCCCTAAAACATGGTGTAGGAGATGAGCTCCTTTGCTGATCTCAAACGGGGACATTTGCCTTAAAACCTCTAACTCTACTCCCATCATTAAATTACTTAATGAATAGAGCACGCAGTGACATCGGTTTTGTGATGGACTTCAACCTCAAACATAACTCTTTCTTCTCTTAAGGTAGGGTTAGTCCTTGTAATATTTTATCTTTGTCACAAAAGTATTTTGGGTGCTGAAAGCATCATAGCACTAGTAGATCCATTTCTAGTTTGGTCATCTACAGACCATCTGGGTAATCGTTTGGGTAGGAAATTCATAGGTGAAACACTAAAATCCTTGAGTCATACATGATTTTAGTAAAAACTTCAGTTTCATTTCATCTCTTGCTATATCTATTTATCTACCTACTGACCTACCTACCTACCTTTCTCCAAAAGGCAATGCCTGGATGTCATCATGAGATTCATGGTTTTAGTTGATCAGAGCTAATGAAATTCAGGTCAACTAAGCCAAGATCTGCACAGAAAGATTAACTTTTCATGGTCACACCATCAACAAACACCCCTGCCAATGAGAGGATTAGGGAAACAGAGACTTTACTGTTGTAGAGTACAACACTTCTCACTTCTAGGGGAAAAAAAACAAAAGATCATTCTGTACTGTTGATTGGTCTGTGATGTTGGCCTTCAGCACGAAGAGGAGCGTGATTGATTTTGCTAGAGAAGACCTCAGAATTGGACAGTCTGGAACGAGTGAGGGGAGGCCCTCGGTGGGTACCTGCTATGGAGCCCTCCTCCAATCAGCAGCAGAGTCAGCTGCAACCTTCCCTGTGACCTCAGACACTTGGTTAGCAAATACATATCCCCCTCTCTCACAGGAGCACCCAGATTGTGACACCTGCATTGAAATGTTATTGACGTCAGGCAGAGTAAGTGTGGATGGCAAGGAACAGTGCACGTGTACTCCCAACACCTTGGGTCTCTCACCTCCTGAGAGGTGAGGTCTCCCTCCTGCTGGCTGCAAGTTTTGTTCTTCCAGAGTGAATGCTTCCATCAGAGGCCTCTGAGACTACACTTATTTTTAGTTTTAACATTTTCGATAAAACTTACTTTTGAAACAAAATCTTTCTGCTCCAAAATATGAAATATGTATTTTTTTATACTAATTTATATTTTACTGACCATCTTTGGGAAGTCCTACTTCCTCTTGCTAGTCCACTTGGGCAACTCCTTTTTATTCCACTTTTGGGTAGTTCCTTCACTATGTCAAACGTTGTTGATATTCAATAAAAGTCATTGTATCAAATGTCAGAGTGATAGGACATTTATATCATTAATGGCAATTATCCCTTTAAAAGCCTTTTGCAAATAACCTTCCCATATGTTTAAACATTTTAGGAAATGATAATGTAAAAAAAACTGGAATGCTATGAATTTGACAAATTGTGCTATGAAGAAACATTTTCAAGAGTAAACACCATCCTTATGCCAAGATGTAAATGTTGAGATCAATGTGGAAAGAAAAAGAAATACAGCACTGTAAGAAATACAGCACCAACAGTTGTGAAGAGCACTGTGGCTCTTTGGCACATCCCTGAAATTAAAAAAGTGCTGTTTGGCCATCGTCTGTACAAATAAGACCTTTTCTAGGCGATATGGTACCAGATTCCTTGTGTGTATTGTTTTGTCTTTACTGCTGATAGTGACCATCTTTTTGTTTCTTCGTCAGGCTGGCCTTGTAAATGGGAAAGCACATCTCATAAGAGCAGTTAAATGTCAAGGAAAAACTTAATATTTCCTCTAGAGAGTAAATATTCAGTGCTTCATGGATGGCAGTGGAGAGTGATCCCTTGCACTAAAGTTTTAGAGATGCTATCCTCCAGGAAAGGCCCAAATTGGGATCAGTGATTTATCTTTCTCATAAGTTCACCATGGCATAGGATTACAAAATAATGGAGAATGAAAGGAATTATCTGCCAGAATCTATAGTGGCACTCATTAGTCCTCCCTAATCGAGTTCTACAGGTGTCAGGAAAGGCTCTTCCGTCACTACTAAGGAATTCCATCACTTTGACACATGATCAAGAATAAATGCCAGGTGCTACTGTTCTGAACAATTGGTACCTACTTGCAGGCCTGATGATGACTCTCCCCTGACTTCCTAGAGGACTCCAGTCCCTTAATGGACCATTTTGAGGGTATTTATCACCCTTGAACCTCTGACCAGAAGTGTCAAGTGATCACAGTTGCAACATGATTGTTTTTTTCTCCATTCCTGATAGAAACTTCACTGGTAGAAGTTGCAAAAAACTATTGACAATATTTTCTAAACCACAGAGAACTTCTTGAAATCTTGACTTCTCTCACACCAAGCAGGGAAAACAAAACAAAACAAACAGATTTGAGCCTGGACACTTAATTGATTTCTGTAAGAAGAAGGACACAGTAAATAGGAATTCTTCCATCATCATCATCATCACCATCATCATCATCACCGGCAAACATTTGTTTTAAAACAACAACAACAGCAACAAAAAGGAAGGCCAATTAGAAAGACTATGCATTTTCCATTACCTTGGAAACCCGGTTTGCAACCTCTCTGCCCACGGTCAGCCCCTGGACAAAGGTGCGAGCAGCAATGAAGGCACGGGTGACCTGAATCTTCAGCTTCCGGGGCACATCTCCAAATGGCTTCAGCTGGTCAGTGTATTTGCTCACGCACTCCAGGTAGTCCTCACTGAAGTGATACTGAGGGTTGATCAGCTGGAACATTCGTTCCAGGAGCCGAGCCCAGAAGTCATTCAGCATCTCCTCGAGGTTCACGTTGCCCCCAGTGTAATATCTCTTCAGCTCCGTGAAGAGGTCCTGGAACACTTCTGAATTCTGCATGTAGAGCATCCCATAGGTCCGGACAAACATGTCATTGAGGGACTTCTCTGCATTTTCTAGAAGTTCTCGGAAAAATTCTGGAGATAAAACAAGAAAACAATCATAAATAATATCTAGAAAGCCTCAGGCATCTACTTGTCTTAAACACAACCACTTTTAATGAGCAGTTTCATAGAAAAATGTAGCCTGTGATTAAGATATAAATGAACTGATCAAAACAGTATGTAAATATGTACTTTTTGTCATTTTGTAATACTGGGGATTGAACCCAGAGTCTCACACATGCTAGACAAGCACCCCATTACTGAACTATACCCAGCCCTTTTTATTTTGAGACGGTGTCTCCCTAAGTTGCATATGTTGATCTCCAATTTGTGATGCTCTTGCCTCAGCCTCCTGAGTAGCTGAGAGTACAGGCTAGCAGCACTGCACCAGACTAAAGACAATATTTTAAATGAGAATTGATCTACATCTGTGATCTTAGATGAGACAAAGGAATCAGAAGACTCTGTAAATTCTATTTCAGAGAGGATCCATTAACATCCGAAGCTTACCTCCTAACATTCTTCTAAAATAGCTCAATTCTTTTTTTATGAACTGTTAAATTTTAGAAAATCTTATGGTTTGATATAAACTCAAAATAGGTTGCAAACATAATGTGCAAAGTATCACCATTAACACAGTAACAAATGCATACCTATAAACACATTTGCTCAGGCCTATTTACAAATTTGTTGTAATGTTAAATTCAATTACATTGCTTTTATTTGGAACAGTTCTTAAATGGGATGTTCAAATTAATGTAATATTTTGGACTCCTTCTAGTTCCTATATATAGTAATCAATTAAAAGTGTTCAGAGATTCATGATGCAATTAAATTCACTTAATACTAAAGCTATAATGAACATAATTAAGGTGGCCATAATGAATCAGAAAGCTATGAAGTATCTTGGATAATCATTACAAATGCAAACTATCATCTTACAGAATTTACTTGAACAAAATATTGATAGTTGGGCTTTCTGATTAAGACAATCTAAATGAAAAGTATGTACAACAAATGAAATCTTTCACTCTGCAAGATCTCTTGAGTGTCGCTGAGATCACTGATAGGATACAAACCTAAGGCAGGCTAAAAAGCCATTAGGTCTGCTAGCCTCACTAGTTCAGCTGTCAGGCTGTATGAAGAGGTACCTCATGTAGGTAGGGTATGTATACATGTAATGCACACTAGCCATGCATATGTGGGACGCACACTAACCCAGAAGTCATTGGGCTAGTAATACTGAGGTTTTATCAATGCATGAATAAGCCTAGGTAAAGTCTAAGCTTTATCCCATTTAGATAATATAATTTGGGGTGGCAAAAACACAAAGGAATGATAATTCTCCTGAGTTTATCAATCCAAGTTCCCAATAGTAGAGTGATTCTGCTTCACCTCTTCAAAGCCCCTTGAAGCTATTCTGTTTCTCCCTTGGAAATTCAGGGACAAATCAAGTCCTAGATATTTCAAGGACTTCAAGTAAAAACTTTATAAAAGATTTTTCTTTCTGGGTCCCTGGGGGGTTATTTCTGAAGAAAGAAGGGAAAAAGTGATGAGTCCTTCTCTGTGTCCCCAGGAACTACTCTGTGCTTTGTCAGAAGCTGGCTAAAAAAACACGTGCTTCATTGCTTCAGATGTGGTTAATGCAGAATCAAACAATTTTCTTGATCATTACATAGTGTTTATACTAATGATAACTACCTTATATTTGTTTTCAAACAGGCAACAGAACTTAAAAAGACTCTGCTCACTTGTTTACCTTTTTTAGCATAAGAGTTGTTTTTTTTTTTTTCTCTTGATACAGAGGCTACAAAAACTTAGGGATTGCCTAAGTGTTATGACTGAGGAACCTTGTACAATTTTGTCCAAGCCAACAATTACTTGTTACTTTAATTTTTCTCAAATGTAAAATCAGATTACATTTTATTAAACTGTTTTACTTGATAGGAAGATGGAAGTGATAATAACCCTGACTTGATTTGTATATATTGTAGTTGTGTATTAAAATTCCATACTGTACCCCACAAATATGTACAATAGTTAAATGTTAGTCAAAAGTTAAGAAAAAATATCTAAGGAGATGGAAATGTTAACTACCCTGATTTGATCATTATGCACTAAATACATGTGTCAAATTATCACACTGTATCTCATAAATTTGTAAAATTAAAATAATCTGTATAAAGAAAACCATACTAGAGAGTGTGGTTCAATCTTTAAGGATTCGGTAAAATGAGTGTTGAAGCAGATGATTATGTATGTTGTATGTCAATGCTATTTATAACTTTTTGAATCAAAGGCATAAAAAACATGTTTTTAGTAATGCTAGTCACCTAGTTTGTCCTAAAATGGGAATTATATTAAATTATTAATATTGATACCAAAGTATTAAAAGTAGTATAACTAAAATATTTCAGTCTTGAAACCAAGAAAGAAAACAGCTTAGGTCTGCTGATATAGGAACTAGGTGAAAAGTATTGCAGACTGTGAAAGAATATAGGAAAGAATGGAATAATCACTGAATTGAAAAATACTAATATAATGAGACTGGAAAGTGGATTCTAATCATGAGCTCTAGATAGCCTATTCATTTATCTTCTTTTGAGGTCAATTATTTTGTTGGACTCAGGAATTAAAGCTTAATTTATTGAACACGATGTAGTGCCTTCAGCAATGAATAGTCAGTAATCAATAGTGTGGTTTAGATTTGCAAAGTGGTAAAAAAAAAAAAGAGTGTGTTGGGGTGGGAAGGCCTTTTGGTCATCATGGCTCTCCAAAGACTTGAGGTAAAAATTGTCTTTATGAATGAAAATTTCAGTCTTCTATTAGCAACAGTAAAATCCCTGAAGCTTTTTCCTGTCCTGACACAGGATCTCGGAAATATTGGGCTTCTGAGCACTCTTAAGATGAATCATTAAAATTAGACTGTCTCTTCTCTGCATCTTGTGTGGTTTTTATTTTTTTATGTTTAAATTTGTATCCATAATGGAATACAGAAACCAAGTTATCATATTTCAATAAATATGGTTCAAGAATCATTTCAGAAGATTCCAAGCTTAAAGTTTTGTCTAAGGGTGTGTCATGGCCTCAAAAGGTTGCTATTAGCTTCACTGGTCCTCAAAAGTCAAATTACTCCTTGTTCAAAATCATTATATGGTTTACTGATCTCATAGGCAAAGTTAATATTTTGTATTGAAAGACACTAATACATCAGCCAATTATAAAAAATGTTGCTACCTTAGGGTACATTGATCTTATATCGTATGACAAATGGGAATCCAAGGTACTGAGGCAAAACTAATGTCCTGCCAAAATAAGTAAGCTCCTTTCATCGTCAGCAGGCCTGTGGACTTCCACCACTTGAAGGTTGACTCTGAACAAAGTACTTTATGCTTGGATGGAAATTGTTTCTCAGCAAACCAAACAAGGTAGAGATTTGGAAGACAGTTATCTGATCCATTTTGCTGATGAAGTATTATGTCCAAACACATCAGAGAGAGTAAAATTCAAGCGCAATATAAGAAAAAGCAAAACCTCTATGTAACCCTTCGATCAACAGAAATTCTCATCTGTAAGAAAGAGTCAGGCTGAAAGAAAGGCGATTTGAGTTTTTTCTTCCTCAATCACAAAATATACATCAAAGGTGGTTGCTTAGGGCTCAGTTATGCTTCATAGGTGCACAAAAAGAATTTTTCCAGCCAGCATTAGCCTCTGGGAGGGTTTTATTCATCCAGAGGGGAGATCTCAGATGGAAACATCTGTTTGCTGCGGGGCAGACTAAAAACTACCATTGCTCCTCTAGCAAAATTAAAGCCTGCACGGTGCTGTGGATTGCTTGGAGAGGCCTCTTAGGGGGCAAAAATCAACTCCTAGGAGCCAAGAGGTGCCCTGAGGATATCTGTGGAAGGCTTCAAATGAAGCCTTCAAATGAACAGACTGGAATGTAAGGTGGCACACAGAACAAAAGGGAAGCAAAAGGAACAGGGATAAAGCAGCCTAGGAATTCACAGGCTTTATAATACAGTAATATCTCCTCCTATTCAAACCAGAGGGATGGCTTCCTTAACAGTAATGTGGATCAGCACAGTGGTAGATTGGAAGTGGGGTTGGGATTATGCACAATATGCCATCATTTTCCGATTCTATTCTCCTGCTGTCCAAAATACTTCTCACTGAAATCTTGTTTAAGATAAGTGTTGCAGCATGGTGGTATAAATTCATGTAGTTACAGCTCAATAAGTGAAGAGCTTTGGTCACTGGTCAGTGGAGACTCCACCTGGTCTGAACTCGGACAGTGAGGGCTTTACTTGCCCATCTGAGACAGAGGTGCTATAAACCACATCTTAGAAGAAGACATTCACCTTCCTGTCATCCTCCAAATATTTTTTTCTTTCTTCTCCTTCTCTTTGTTCTTCTTTTGGTAATGAGAATTGAACTCAGGAGTGCTTAACTCCTGAGCCCCATCCCCAGCACATTTTTTTAATGTTTTATTTAGAGACAGGGTCTTGCAAAGTTGATTAGAGCCTCCATAAGTTGCAGAGGCTGGCTTTGAAATTTTGACCCTTCGGCCTCATCCTCCACATTCTTGAGCATTTATAGAAAAGAAATCATTCATATCTTCCCACATTCCAAATTCACATGCACCTATTTAAACAAAATACTGCAGTCTCTGTTCAAAAATTTATTGATTTATTATTAATATATTGTATTGAATAATCTCAAGTGCTTTGTTTTGTGGGTTTTTTGATAAATAAGACTATATCATCTGTATTTCTTCATAATGCATGTTTTCAAGAAACAAGAATATAAGAGAAAGATGTAAAAAATTATTTTCAATAGATATCCTACGATGATGCCTCAAATTTTTTTTCAAGATTAGTTGCATTTTTGTGTAAGACTTTCAGAATGCAGTTTTTAAAATTATGGGATTGATACTATATAACATTATTGCTAAAATAAGAATTTATTTTAAAAGCAAGGTATCAGAATCCATAACCATTGAGATGATGCTGCTAGGAGCAAAAATTCATTTA